GGTCTATGATGATAAAGTCTAGCTGTCAATGGTTTCCACGATTTTCCATATGTTATCCTTTGTATGTTATTGTTATCTTGACTATGATTGCTTTCAGTAAATGCTTCTTCCATATTTTCTATTGTGTCGGCTATTATGGGTGTCTCGGCTTGTAGAGTTAACGTAGATGATTCAAGGATAACTTTACCTTTTTGTTTTTTATCCTGAATTTCTAGTTTTTTATCCTGAATCTCTAATTGAGATAATTTTGATATTAACTGATCCATTAAAGTCTTATTATCTTCTCCAAGTTTAAATCTTTCTTTGTCAAGTGATGGAGGTGGTTTGAATAAAACATTTTTTTGTTTTCCTTGTAGAGGTACAGGTCTTAACATATTTTCAATTCTGGATGTCTGCCTTCCTAATGATTGCATATATAGATTAGTGTAATTATTTTGTTCAATCACATGTGGAATTAATTCATATTTATGTTGTACTATTTCTCTTGTAGTCATTTTATATGGTGTAGATTTTGTTTCTAATTTTAAGTCTGGATTTGATCCTTTTATAACAATACTTTTTTCAGGAGGATGGACACTAGTTAATGTATTTCCATCTATAGTATCATATGAACTATATTGACTTTGCAGTGTATTTACTTCAAAATTAGGAATATGAATTTTATTTTCCTTACATATTTCTCTTAACCATACAAAAAATCCTTTATTATAGTGTTCTCTTTTTCGTGCCTTGTTATATTTTATATGGAATAATTCTACTAATCTAGGTTAAAAATTTTGTTTATACCAAGTTCTAATTGCCTTATTTTCTTCAGACAGATAATCCTGTTCAATAAATTGTTTATTGAGCCTTTTTTCTTCTTGAAGAGTTAAGACTTGAAAATCCATTTCTGAATCAATTAATTTTGGTTCAGTTTTTTGTGCTAACTTATATTGTCGGATGACAATATTTTTGCTTGTTCTATATAAGCTTTCTAATTTTGGATGTATAAACGAAGAAGAACTCCTTGGTAATTCTATTATAGGATTAGTAGATGATTTTATTTCAAAATCATCTTTACTATTATGTCTTCTATTGTTGGTAAATTGGATTTGTATTTTACCATTAGGATTTTCTATAATCTTATCAGGAATAGTGTTTATTGTTGGGGCTTGGTGTTGATGGTTTTCATTATAGATTGACCAAGATTCAGATAAGACAATTTCTGACTATTCTATGGTTTTTGGTATATATTGTATTAGATTTCTCAATATTGGTTTGGAAGGATACTGTTTTTCCCTTTGTATCATATTGTAAAACATTAGGACATAATGTAGTCATGACTTTATAATATATTCTATATACTATGGCTATATTTTGGGATCCTGCGATCATATCAAGACCTTGGGTTTTTAGGTTTAGGGTCAATACCTTAAGAATATTTAGATCCTTTAAGGATATAGAATAATTAGGGAAACAATTAAAATTTACTGGACCACTACATAGACAAGATTCTACCATACCTAATAGAGAATCATTAAATTTATTATGTCTAGTATCCCTTAGACATATTAGTATTGAGTTATTGAGTCAACCTGTTTAATAGCTACATGTATTAAACCTATATGAAGATAGTTATTACTCTTATCTTTATGAGATTGTATTATTTTATTAGTTAATAACTGAAAGTCTTCCTGGGTACTTGTTACAGAAAAAGTTTGTTCTACTGTTTTGATAGCATAACCTATTTTGAGTTCAAACGTTTCTTTTTTATAAATATCACTTATAAGGACTTTAGGTAAATTCCAGTTTTGTATTTGGTTTTCGATATTATCGATAACTATTTCTTCTTTATTTTTTATCCTTAGAGTATTACTAGTTTGGGGTAATGCTTTATTTGACAGATTCCTAATGAAATTCTCCATTATTAGGTTGCGGATGAGTGCTCTTTTAGCTATCTCTTACGTCTTTTTTACCTCAGCGGCTCCCTGGCCTTAACGGTCTCTCGACTGGATGCTTTCTGGCCTCAACTCTCGGACCAACTTTATTTAATGGAGGAATTTAATTAGGTTTCTATCTCTTAAAGTATTAATCCTAGTAGTATTACACTGTTGGATACTATTTAAAGAAGAAGGTGTGGTCTGGCTCTGACACCAAATTCGCCTCAAGATCTACCTTCCTAGAATAGTTCTAAATCTTGCGTAAATAACCAAAATATAAACCCATAATTAAGATGCGTAAAAGAGATACATGAGTAATATTAATAGTAATCCAAGTATAATAAGCATTGGCTTATTATACATGGCTTTTATAATGGCCAATTTTTCCCCATTTATAGCATACAGGTAATTTTTTTCTACCTTTATGATATTTGTATTTGGGAGAGAATCTCTCTATAAATTTTTTTTTTTATATTTTTTATAAGATTTCTTGTCCTTTCTTTCTGACTTATATCTTTTCTTTTTATGAAATTTATTTTTAGATTTTTCTATATGATATCCGAATTGTTCACAAAAGTCTCCTAGTTCTTTTTTACCAGTCATTTTCTGTTTATCTAAGTGCTTTTTTAATTTCATATCAGTGCATAAGGCTAAACCTTTTGCACATATTTCTGCAGATAATTCTCCTATTGTATAAAAAGAATATGGTATGATTCCTCCATTCTTATTTTTCAATCTAGTTTTTACTTTCTCAACAAATAAATATAGTAATCCAGCAATAAATTTTTCTTTCCAATGATCCTGTTAGCTATCTTCTCGGCTTAATAATCTAAAAAAGAAAACATCTTTGTATCATTTATAATGGGATAGGGTTAGATATCGAAAATTAGATAACAAATCTTCATATCGAGCTTCAAGTAAAGCTGTACTCCCCACAAAATGAAGTGTGATGGTATAAATGAGAGTATTGACAGCATCACTTTTAGAATATAAAATATCTTGCTTATTTTCATTTTTAGCTATCCATTGACGAATATTATTAAGAAATTGTTGTTTGGTAGTTTCAAGTAACTGAAAATCGCACCAACCTTGAAACCATCCTGTGAAGCCACATACAATGGCTTTCGCAACTTCTTGATCATGATTGCCTACTATTTTGCATACAGAAGCATACATGGTCATATGTTTCATAGTGTCTAATATTTGTTGTTCAAACAATCCATCTATATTCCAATTTACTATTGATCTTCCATCATCATCATTATCATTATCATTATTAATATCATTTTCATTATCATTATTATTATATTGTTATTGGTATTATGATTATTAGGAAAAACTTTATATAGAGCTGAAGCTCTAAACAATCAAATTTGATTGTTTAGAGCCTAAGCTCTACAAAAACCGCACCTTTACTATTATATATTTTTCTTCCAGGCAGAGTCTGACAGAGTGACCTCACGAGTTGATTGAGTCAAGTCAAACCAGTGGGTGATCCACCGATTCACATTTCAACTTCTCAAAATGCCCGTCATTTTAGAGAGAGGGAGAAAGACCCACACATTCAATTGAGATAAGGTGAGAGGGAGAGAGACAGATCCCCTTTATTAAATTGAAGCAAGCGAAAACCCCGAGCCGTTTGGTTCTATGAACCCAGATTTTTAGGAATCGTTTTTAAGCTGGGCTAATCATGTTTGCTTGGCTTAGAATTTGACAGTTCCGTTGGAATTGAGATTTCCGTGAGTTAACCGAACCAAAAGGTATTGACATTCTAGGGAAATGAAAACTTCATTGTTGAAGAACAAAAAAAATAACAAAATACTAAAGAGAAAACTATATCAAAATTTAGAGAGAACATATTAGAATTTTCGAGAGAAAAACATAATAAAATTTTAGAGAGAGAAACATCGTATTTTACAGAGAAAAAGTACATATAATTTTTTAGAGGGAATATATAAATTTTTTCTATGAGAGAAACTACATAATATTTTAGAGAGGATCTATCTAACATTTTTTAAGAGAAATATCTCAAGACATATTGAGAGATTATCTCAAATTTTAAGTTTTAAAGAAAGACCATATTAAAATTTTTGAGATTAAAAACTATTTCAAATTTTAGATGGAAAAAGTACCAAAAACTATTAAAAAGAGAAACTATTCCAAAAATTTTAGATAACGAAACTATCTTTAAATTTAAGTTTTAGAGAGAATGATTATTAAAATTATAAAGAGAAACTATTCAAAATATTTTTAGAAAAAAAACTATCACAAATTTTAAGCTTCAAAGAGATAAAAATTCTTAAAACCTAAGAAAAATAAAAAGTACTTGAAATTTTTAGAAAAAACCTATTACAATTGAGATAGAGGAACTATCTCAAAATTGAAGTTTTAGAGAAAAAAAGTATATTAAACTTTTAGATAGAAACTACATGAAATTTTTTTAAAAAGACTATCTCAAAATTTTAATTTTAGAAAGGAAAAAAGCATTTTAAAATTTTTAAACAAGTAAATACATCAAATTTTAGAGTGAGAATGTACAAAAAATTTCTTAGAGATAAAAACAATCTTAAAATTTTGAAAAAAGATGCGTTCTTGAATTTTAAGTATTAGATAGACAAAGCACCATGATATTTTAGAGAGAGAAAGTACATATTTTAGAGAGACAAACGACTTGAAATTGTTAGAAAAAAAACTATCTCAAAAAACTTATAAAGAGGTACCATCTCAAATTATAAATTTTAAAGAGAGAAAATATATCAAAATTTTAGATTAAAACTATATCAATCTTTAGATAGCATATAAATTTCTTTTTTGAGAAAAACCATCTGAAAATTTGTAGAGATATAGACCTTCAACTTTAAGTTTTTGAGAAAAACTATCTCAAATTTTTTAGAGACCAAGGATTTACATTTTCAAAAAAGAAGATATCTAAGAAATCCAACTAGGGAATTTATATTTTCTTGAATCCTACCAGATACAATCCAAACAGCAAACACCATATTTAAAAAATATCAATTCCAGTAAATCTAAATTCCATAATCGACTCTTACTGAAAAATCCAAGGATCCAAACAGGCCGTAATTTTTTATTATATTTTTTTTCAGAAGAAGAGCAATAGGCTGACGTACATACAAAAAGGTTACCAGGCCAAAACTAAAAACCTTAGGAGAAATCAAAACGCCATTGCACAAGCTTTTGTGCAACAAAGAAGTGCAGAGTTTTTAGCACACTTCACTAGAAGCTCGCTCTCTCTCTCTCTCTTTCTCTCTAGGTTTCTCAAAGGCCAAGCTCGGCGTTTGTTTTGCTACCATAAAGACTTGCAGGAAAAAGGGTGTTTTGGCTCTCTCTCCCTCTCTTCCACTTCTTGTAGCATCTAAGGCATAAATAACCATACAGGGAAAAGTAGAAAATGGAATTTGCAAAGTAAAGAGAAAAACAAAAGATGTGGGCCATTCACACAGTGCTGACATGACCCCAAGTCTCTCTCTCTCTCTCTCAAAATTCGTTGGTCCTTTCTCTCTACAAGGATCTGACATGACCCATCTCACTCTCTCTCTCCCTCCAATTCTATATATCTCTGTCCTAAGTATTCTCACTTGACCATCTCTCTCTCTACATGACACATTCATACCCCCTTCTCTCTCATCATAGCTGCACCTTGAATATCGAGTGACCGAGGTTTGCGAGCCCTTGAACCTCTCCCTTTTGGTCATCTTCTTGTTGGGTTGTGAAGCTATGGTGGCTAAGAAGGCCATTATCAGCTCTAAAGCCTGTGCTCTCATTGAACAAGAGATTTTGAATCGGAGAAGAAGAAGCATAGGGAAGTCTAGTGGTTTTAAGGTTTGAGTTTTTGTTGGGTAATAGAATGGATTGGAATTGGAACAAGTGATGAGCTTCTTCTGCAAAAGTGGCTGACTCTTGGCTAAGGGACAGGGGTGCAGAGGCAGTAGCCTTTTGGGGGCTCTCAGTTTCTAGTTTGGAGACTGAACCCACAATTGCTTTTGAAACTGCAAGAGAGAGAAAATAACAACAATGTAAGAGAGAGAGAGAGAGAGAGGTGATGCAAAAAGGAGAAAGGAATAAGTTCAGTTCCCTTACCTGGGCTCTGAATCCCCACAACACAATCTCTCTCTCTCTAGGAAATTGGTACAGTTCACTTTTCTCTCTCTAGGAATAGGTACAGTTCACTCCCCCCAACTTGCCTCTAAAATCCCCATTACCCACTCTCTCTTGCACACGCGTAAGTACCATGTCTTTTTCTCTATCCACAGATATAAAAACCGAACAACAATTGTTTCATGCCGGGTATAAAGCATCCGTCTTTAAGATATATCATTCCAAATGTTTTTTTAATATGATTTTTTTTTAAAAAAAATTTAATATTCATGATCTTCACGTTAAGATTATATATTCTTTAAAAATTACGATCAAGTTATATTTAAAAAATATATTTATTGCGGGTTTGAACCTCGTCCAAAACAGAACGTATTCATCATCTCTCTCAAGCAAACTGAATTTATTATCTCTCCCTCTGATACACAAGTAACTTATCCCTCCCCCTGTCCCATAGAAGCCTGAACTGATTTTATTTAACTCTCTACTCACACATCAAGCTGAAAAGTCTCTCATGAAGCCGAACTGCGTTCATACCTCTCTCTTTCCCTCTACCTATCCCCACTCGCCATAAAGCACCGAAATGAATTTATTCATCTCTCTCTACTCACACATGAAGCTGGACTGAGTTCATTCCTCTCTCTCCCTCTTTGCAAAAATGTTAGAGAGAGTTTTTCGATGTTTAGAGAGAGAAAGAGACACACCAATTGAATTTTTGGTGGCATCACCAAGCTTATCTGATCCATTCTTTCTCCTTCGCCGATTGTGGTCCGCAAGGCGCCTCCTACAACTGCGTTTTACTTCGTCAAATTCCGCCAAAACATGGAACCTAACACCCAAAAAATCACAAAAACATTACAAATCATCATTTTTTCATATAACAACAAAACAAAAGCGTACAAAATTAAAACGCATGTAATTACATCATCTGGAGAATATATCATGCTCCCAAGGGAGCATATTGTTCATCACTCCTTCAGATTAAATATCGGCTCACCAGTTCTTTTCTTCTTCTTTTTTTCTTTTTTTTTGAACTGGAAATTTCAAATTCATCTAAGAATCATCAGATAATTATTCAAAAAGAAAAACAGATTCCAAGTTCTTAGAGCTAGATCTGGCCATAAAAAAGTGGGAGACTGTTCATACTTACGTATACACCTTTAACGGCAATACAAAATGCACTTTATTTTCATTCTTTTCTTTTAAATTTGGGAGCTCATTTGAAGAGATTTTATCCCCAAATTTGGGCTCCTAATAATCTCTTGCAATGGGTTTTGCCAAAAGTAGTGAATGGATATAGGAAAGGAGCTACGTCGTGGTTTCCAATCCTGCTAACTTAACCCACTACCACTTTCCAAAAAGCAAACTCCCTAATCTATCTAAAACCCCAATAACAAAAAAAAAAAAATAGGGGCCATCTTCCCCCCTGAATTGCCCTGAAATAAAATCAAAAAAGGGTAGTGATCTCATGCTACTGTTGTATCATAGTATAATGCAACAAGATTCAAAAACCATATTAAGATAATTTGTTTGATCCAAATTTTAAAATATACACTCTTTTCATTCTAATGAATAATCACAAAATGTAAATTTTGAAAACACAACCTAAAAAATATTTTTTTAGCCTAATTAACTTAAGCCGTCTGTTTCGAGAAGATGCTTAGATCTAAGCCTTAGAAGGATTTTTTCTTCTCAGTTTTTCAGACGGCTTTATTATAATGAATAGTGTTAAAAGAAAAAAATGATTTTGAGTATGTAAAGGCTGAGATCTTAAAATTCACCAAATGAATAGTTTAGATCCGTTGTTGGAAGGAGACTTATTTTGACCATATCTAGGATTCAAATTGAATTTTTTTTCGTTGGATTCATTATTGAGATGAAGAGAGTGTGTGTAAAATTTTAAAATTACCACAAACATGGTTTATAAGAGGTGTGGTTGCATTATACTATGTCACAATATATTTATTCATAAGAAATGTATACAATGAGACAAACAAAGGGAAGGCCCAAATAGAACGCAATAAGTAACCCACAAAATGATCAAATTTGCTCCCTCCTCTATAAGTATGTAAACACATGTTTATCATGTTTATAAAAAACATCCAACCAATTAAGAAGAAGAAAGATATTAATTCAATACAACTAAAAGCCTAAAAAAACCAAAACACAGAACCACTTTATAAAATAAAAAAAAACTTATCATCATCATCAAAGTATTTTTCCAACTAATTGAGGTTGGATAAAAAATTCTGAAAAGCTCAATACATTTATATATCAATGGGATAAGAACTGAAAAGAAAAACAAGGAAAAATCCAAGCAAGAGGAAACTTGATAATTAAACTACAAAATCATCAAATTTGGTCAGCCCCATATAACTACGGACTTATATGTATGAGATATATAAGAGAAATTTATCAAAATACACCTAATTAATTAACTATTTAACAATTTACTCATTTCCAACTCTTTCAACTCATAATCATGTTTATTTCGGTAAGACTTTAATTAAATAAATGAAGTACTTACTAGATCGTAATATTAAATAGTTCATCTCTTGATGCATTTGGATAAATTTCTCAATTTAATTTAAAATGAAAAGTCGTGCTCCAAGTAGATAAAACTTGAGCAACCAAAACAAAAAGAGATGGGGATCACAAAACTGAACCAAATAATTATATTCTCCTGCAGGGGCATAATATGCATTTACTCCCTCGGGGTTAAACCCTACGAAATATATCAATTACTAACTTAAACACTAAGACTAGGACAACTTGAAAAAGAAAAACAAAAATTAACGAAAAGAGGGGTGAAACAAAGTTTCAATCAAGCAAATGCCCAACAAAAAAATAAAAAAGTTCCAAATTCCATTGAATTAAATGGCCGCTTTTTTTTGACAAAAGAATTAAATGCCTTCGTCCTTCAATGAATCTATTCTCATTAGCAAGGGACGACTAGACATCTAAGATTTGTACTTATTTTTACTCTGATTTAATCCAACATAAAAATCAATCTTAACGAACAAAGAAAAACTACAAGGTAAATGCCAAACCACAAAGAAGAGAATGAACCCTACAAATGCCAAATGAACAAGAAGTAAATAAGCCCTTGGGAGAGTGAATTTCATGCACCAATGCCCAAGTGTACGAGAGAGAGCATTGGGGAGCATTAGAGAGAGGAAAGAAAGCATTGGGGAGTATTAGAGAGAGAGCATTGGGAGTATTAGAGAGAGGAGAGAGAAAGCAATGGGAGCATCAGAGAGAAAAAGGAGAGTATTAGAGTTTGTAAAGGAAAAGAGAGCATTACAGAGAGAAGAGAAAGAGAATTAGGAGCATTAGAGAGAACAGAGAACATTAGAGAGAGAAGAGAGAGCATAGGAGAGAGAGAAGAGAGAAAAGAGAGAAAAGAGAGCATTAGAGAGAGAAAGAGAGAACTGAAATAGGAATATAGTTAAAGTGAGAGAAAAGAGAACAGAGGGCATTAGAGAGAGGAGAGAAAAAAGAGCCTTGGGGGCATGAGAAATGAGATTGTAGCTACACAGAGTGAGAGAGAGCAGGAGTATTGCCACAGATAGAGAAAGAGAGAGAGAAATCCAGAAGACATGCAAAGAGAGGTGCCGAGAGAGAGTAAAGTCTAGAGAGAGAGAGAGATGCCCCATCACAAAAACCTACAGAGAGAGAGAGAGAGGTCCCCAACACAAACACCCACGCACACAACCAAATCATACACCAACTCTCGAACAACAAATCATGTGATAACAACCAATAAACCCAAATCTCTCTTTCTCTCTCTCTCTCTACAAAAAAAAACCCAGTTCCCCACCAATGAGAAAGCCCCATTTCTCACCTGCTACACTGCTGACAAAACCTCTGCTCAAGCCCATTAGCAATCACCCTCGTCGCCTTCGAATGAAACTCACAAACCTTGTGCCTCCTGTGATAATGCTTTGCATTTGTTAAATCATTTCCACACCCCTCAGCCTGGCACCGTGGAACCACGGGACCACCAAACAAGCCCCTCGAGTTCCTCCTCACAATAACGCCCCCATCGCTCGACGAGAAGTAAGTCCTCTGCCCCAAGTTGAGGCCCAGGCCGTTGCTCCTCATGCCTGCGCCCTCAAATCCACTCTCTCTCTTCAAAAATGTGTTGTAGATAGAGGTTTCTGAGGCCCCAAATGTGGAGAACGGAGAAAGAAAGTGGTTTTCTGGTTGTGTTGAGAGGAGAGGGTTGGTGTTTTCCCAGTGCGAGGCGGGTTCGGGCCAAGTGAGGGGCATCATGTAGAGGTCGCTTGTGTGATTCATGAGAGAGAAAGTTTGCAAACCCAATGGAAGACAGAGAAAGACGAGTGCACTGCTACGGTAGAGAGAGAATTTCACTGCTATTTTAGAGAGAGAACGTGCAATGCTATGCTATTTTAGAGAGAGAAATCGCAATGCTACTGTTGAGAGAGACGAAAGCCGAGAGCACTGCAACTTAGAGAGAGAACCAAGTGCAGTGTTACTGTAGATAGAGGGCGACAGAGAGCAACGAACTTCAACGCTGTTGTAGAGAGAGAATCAAGAGCTTTACTAATATTAAGAAAGAGAGAGCTTTACTGCTATTTTAGACAGAGAGAGAAGTTACTACTATAGGGGGATTGAGAGAGAGAGAGAGAGAGAGAGAGATTTACTACTGTAGGGAACACGAGCACTCAGAGGACCACGGCCATACAGAGTGCAATTACCACTCAGTTTTGCAGGGGTGCCGGGTCTAGAGAGAGAAACAATAGTAAGAACTTTTACCCCAAGAAGGAAAAAGAGCCATTGGAGCAGGGTCTAGAGAGAGAAACAATGACCAAGAAACTTCACTCCTAAAATGGGGAAAATCTTGCAATCAGAAAACCATGATTTGGTGAAAGCTTGGAATGATGCTCGACTCAGAAACGCATGCACCTCTCTTCTGGTACTGAGTTTTTTACCATTTTAGCAACCTGTGAAGGCATTTCAAGGGGCGGTATATGTACCCAAAAAGATTAAGATCCCAAGGTAGAGAGAAAAATGAAGTTAGAGAGCCAGAGTAACCCAATGTGCCATTCACTGCTCAACACTTGTACTGCGTTTGGCAAGTCTCATTTGATGGATCACTTAAATGACTTTCTGACAGTAAAGGTGAAATGGTTCAAAAAGCCAAAAGTTTTTATGAGTGCCTAAAGTACCCTTAAATATGTTTGAAATGACATATGAGCTTTGATTTATGTGAAAATGTGAAATATTTTTTTTTTTTTTTGAGCTTTTAGATAAAGTTCATATGAGACCTAAACATTATGAAAACAAAATAAAGTTTCATCCTAAATCATCGTCCTGAAAGCATTTTGAGCAACAAAAATCTTTAAGATCACTCTAAACTCAATTTTCAACACTGAAAATAAATTTATTTTTCTTGAGGGCTATAATTTTCACACCGAGATGATCCATTCAAAGGTTTCTCAATGCTTGAATTGTAATTTTAGTGGGTTATGATATGAGGCCGTACTTATTTTAACAAGGTTGCAGCCCTATCAAACCATTTTTCTTCGGGTATTAGAAAGAGAGAATGAATCGAAATTTCAATATTGAATTTTTGTTCATAATTAATTTTTCTATCAAAATTTTTTTAAATCTAAATTTAAGAAAAGGAGAAAGTTTTTTAGGTTTGCAATCTTATATTAAGGTGCCCATCAAAAATCCAAAAGAAAATAGTGTTTTAAAGTTGGAAAACTGATCATCTCGACCTTAAAATCTATATATGTAAAGGTAACAAATAATTTTAAATCTTAAAAATAATATATTTTCTAACAACTTATCTGGACCACTTATTTTCAAGATTTATATATATTTACACATCTACTCATTCTTCACCGCTTTTGAAAATTTTAATTAGAGTTGAATATGAATTTTGAAACCATAATAAGGTTTTAAACATCATAATTACATCTTTTGATAAACTGTAGAGGTATGTCTTAATTGTATAGTGCAAGATAGGCATCTTATACAAATCTCAACCAAGAAGGAACAAGTAAAGTTTAAAATCCTAATATGAACCCTTTCCTCATATTCTATCCCTAAAGGCAGAGTATACCGTCCACATCCCGTGGTTGAGATTTCACAACGCCATCTCTAATGGACAAAAATTAGTTTTAGCATTTTATTGTATTTTTATTTAAATGAGATATTTTTTAAAATATCGGTTGTAAGTTCATTCTTATAAATATAACTAAATAAAAATGGCTAAAACACCGATAAATTATTTTACACAATATTTCTATTTAAGATATTTTTATTTTTATTACTTTTTAATTATAAAAAAAATAAAAAATTGTAATATTAATAAATTTTAAAATTTAAAATTAAAAATTAAAAAAAAATCATTTTTTACCCTTGGATGTGGCTGGTCCAATCCGAACCATTCAAAGGTGCTTGTGCACGTCCACAGCTAGTATGCATGCGATACCATCCCATCTTTAAAAGCATTAAAGTAAAGATAGAGTATGGTATGCTCTTGCTAGAGCATATACTGTACAAAAACTACCTCGGGCACAATAGCAAATTAAGAGGATTTTTTTTTTATTCAAAATTTTGTGATCCATGTAAGTAAGACTACATGATAATTCCCGAAGAAAAATGTTGGATTTTGAGCTCTCGAACATCTAGATCTTTCCCTCGAAAGATTGGACGACCGTGGTCAATCTTGGATATAAATTTTTTGGGATCAAGTAGAATGAGATTAATTTTGTATAATTCGTAAAAAAAAAAAAATCGTTTTCTTTGGTATTAGTCATTAAGTTTCTAGATATTACATCCCAAATTTTGGGATCTAAAAAATAATCCTTGCATGAGTCTTGCCTGAGGGAGTAAATGAAATCTTTTGGCTTCTATAAATATGTCGCTATATCTAAATCCAACTAATTCCTTGATTCTCTTTCTCATGAGCATAAAAAAACGTTGTATAGTGAAAATGAAATATATAAAAAAAAGGTGTATAGTAAGACTCCATCTCATCTCTTTCTTAAATTTTCTAATTTTCTATTTTAAACCGTAAAATAGTTACATCTAAATAAATAATATCTGTCAAAAGAATTTTGTTATATATTAAATTTTACAACTAGGACATTTTCTTAAAACTAGTTGAAAAACAAAATTTGCTTCATCATGGATAAGTTAGTAATATAAAATGGTTATAATCAAAATATAAGAAAGTATGGTAAAAATTCCATGAATTAGGGCTTCAAACAACGTGCCATTAGCTAGTTTTATAGTAAAATTCGGTAATAAAATACTTTCCTAATATTTTATTTTTAAGCAGTTAAATATTTTGTATATCATTTCATGGGGCTATATTTGTGGTGAACGGAGCTCAGTTTTTTGTTTCTTTTTTTTTTTTGTTTTTTTTTTGTTTTTTGCAGTATTTTAAAACCTAGATTGATGGGGCAAACTGTTCATTCACAAATCCACGGCAGATTGTTTCGATCGGTGATCCAGATCGGGTTTGGAGCGATCCAAATTAGTGATCTAAAAACATAAATAAATAAAATAAGGGATTTAAAATGATTCAAAAAAATATTAGATAAATTTAAATAAAATAATAATAATTATGAGGGGATTTTAGGGGGCACTACACCAAGACCCATACCATTTCGGTCCTGACTGATTCCGATCAGCGAATTGACGTGTTTGAAAACAGTGTATTTTGTAAACCCAAACAGGGAATTAAAAAGAGTGCTATTGCTTTATCAATTATATCCTACTTTCTAAATTGTGAGTCGTTTCATCAGTGGGTATGCATATGAATAGTTATTAGACCGGATTAGATAGCCTAGTTTGATTGGTTGGACAGCAAATTGGTTATAGATCGTGTAGTTTAAAACAAAGATTGAGTTTGATAAAATCGATATTTGCAGGGTAGGGATAAGCTGAATTTGACCTCTGAAATTGGTTAAATAAAATATAAAAATTTTAGTTCTATATTTCAAAATTATTATTCTTATTGTTTCTTGGACAACGAACTCATATGATACTACTATTCACAAATGTGTAACACGTCTTCCTAGTCAAAAGAGCAAATTTATTACAAAAATGAAAACTTCTCCATCAAACTCAGCCAACACTAACTTTTCTGCATCAATGATCACATGCTTATCGGTTTCTTTTGTCAACGCAGTATTCAATCACGAAAGGGACAGATTAATACAAATTTAGTTTATGTTTCTTCCGTATTGATGGAGGAATTAGTGCTTGAGGCTCTTTTTAGCCACAGGAACAAGCATGCAAATAGAATTTATCTAGTGATTGAGAAAAGGCTGAACTGATGATCACAATGACATGTAAGTTATTTAATATTGAAGAAATAGTAGCCAAATGGGCCAATACCTCATAACGTCAAATGGGCCGGCACCTCATGACGCCTCAAAACGTCATTTCGTTTGAGTCCAAATGACGTGGATATGATCCGGTTCAGATCCAGCTTGAACCCTATCGGGTCAAGCTCGGTCAAAATATATAATATAATCATTTTAACTTTTAGACCCAAGTTGGAGCCAATTCGGATGCATGGGTCTGACCTGGGCCAAATCCAAGTCAAATTTGGCTTGAACCGTTTAGGGTCCAATCGGGTGATAAAATTGGGAGTTGGATATAAAATTGGGTAGATGGAGATGTTTTTTTTTTTTGAGAGTAAGTGGGGGAGAAGGACCCTTTCCTCGATAAGAATTGAACCTAAGACGGAGTGTTGTGGATCGTCAAGCGTTAACCGATTACAGTTGGGCTCTCGTTTTTTAAAGTGATTGGAGATGTGTTATTGATTAAATGAAAAGTCTACAATAAAAATTATCGAAGTAACATATTTCAATAAATTAGATTTCGCATCGCATGGCCACCAATAATTGGGCTCGTTTTATATCAAAAAGTAAATGGTCTCGCAGTGATAAAAAAGGGCGTCTTGGGCATTCAAGAATTGATGCAGGAGTATATATGACCACTATGATTTTTAAGCTTGTTATTTAAAAGTTAATATAGATACGTAGCGTGGTGCAGGTCACTTGGTCTAGGGTTAGGGTTTTTATTGTGGAGGGGAGGGGAGGGGAGGGGAGGGTGATTGATGGTTGTTGAGTGATGAATGTGTCAGATGTGAGATAGGGATATGCGTACGAAGAGTTGAAAGCATTCCCCGCTTTCAGCTGTTTGGGTTGACGTTTTCCACTGCCACTACACTCTTTCTCTCTCTCTCATATTTTCTCTCTCTAAAAATCTTTCTCTCTCTCTGAAAAAACCTGTCTCTAATCTTGTCACCCCATAACCCTCTCTTATAAAATCTCTCTGCCTTTCTCTCTCTAAAAACCCACCCTTCACCCTACACCTATCTCTATCTTATTCTTTCTCTCTCTAACATCTCACCTATTGGAGGGTCGCCATCTCTCCCCAGTCGGCCGCACGTGGCACGCAAGTTTTGTGGGACGCACTTGCATCGTATCGAGAATTGAATGGACGGCTGTAATTTATCAGCGTGTGCCTATCTGCGATCCGCGAATGCTATAAAGTAACTTCCAGTCTTTTAGAGAAAGACAGACGAGTCTTCGACGATCGAGCGGATATTTTGCTGGTACTTACCTACAAGAAATTGATCCTTAAAAATAAAAAAATAGAAAAAAAAAAGAAAGGCTATTTAGTTATTTTTTGGGAGATTGTATATTACGATACTATTGGTTTTTTATACAAGATGTTCACAATTACTTATAATCATACAATTTATTTTTGATATAAAGTTATCACAATTATCGACAACTATTCGATGTGAAGTTTGATAGTTTGGATGTGTCATAATATATGAATAAATTTTTTTTTTTTAAGCTTGAGTTTGATCAATGGAATAATTGCAACCATCCAATTTTACATCCAATGGTTAAGATTAATGTGACCACCTTGTACCAAGGTAAATGGTCTCATTCCATACTTTCTCTTTTTTAGATTGTCCGGTTTTTTCCCTATAGTAGAAATGAAACTCAAAACTTTATGCTATGGCACTTAAATTGAGAGTCTAACTTAAAAAGAATTGGTTTCAAGTGAGTGTTGGGAATCGATTCAAGCCT